TGGGGGCGATATGCTGACTCTGTAAACCGCTTAGAGAGGGCTGAAAGCCCTATGAAGCGGTATATAAGTCTAAGTGCTATTGCTATTGCTATTGCAAGGAGACAAGATATCCTAGGCAGGACTGAGAAATCCTTATGTCAACTTGTAAAGCATTTCCCTGTCTGTTATCAAGTTGACATTGGAGGGAAGGGGGGGGGGGAATTCCACACATACTACAGCAGGCTTGTGAGACATTTTACAACCTGCAGTTGGCGAATGTGATTTATGACACAGACTGAGGGGAGGGGAGATCTGACTCCACACAGGTATTGCCCAGATGTGGTTCCTAATAAATGACTGGGTTTCTTTTGAAACTTGGCTCGAGGCTGGTAAGTTCATTAGGACATTTTTGGCTAATGTGATTTATGACACAGACTGAGGAGCGGGGAGAAACAGTTCAGCAATAATTTAACTAAGGTTTAGATCTGACTCCACATGGGTATTGCCGAGATGTGGTTCCTAATAAATGACTGGATTTCTTTTGAAACTTGGCTCGAGGCTGATAAGTTCATTAGGGCATTTTTGGCAAATGTGATTTATGACACAGACTGAGGGGCGGGGAGAAACAGGGGTAAAGTTCAGCCATAATTAAACTGAGGTTTAGATCTGACTCCACATGGGTATAGCCGAGATGTGGTTCCTAATAAATGACTGGATTTCTTTTGAAACTTGGCTCGAGGCTAGTAAGTTCATTAGGACATTTTTGGCGAATGTGATTTATGACACAGACTGAGGAGCAGGGAGAAACAGTTCAGCCATAATTTAACTGAGGTTTAGATCTGACTCCACATGGGTATTGCCGAGATGTGGTTCCTAATAAATGACTGGATTTCTTTTGAAACTTGGCTTGAGGCTGGTAAGTTCATTAGGGCATTTTTCGGAAACCTGACACTTTTCCTCGTTGGGTGGGTTGCTTGAAAGAGGGGAGAAACACAAGCACCCCCCCTTCCCCTCAAAGGGACACGTCCACTCAGGGTTTGGGGACCCCACTACAACTGAGCGAAGAGAAGCTG